CACTCTCCCAGCCATAAGCATGTGTCCGGGAGTGTGGGTTCCCATAGTAGTTGATGAGGTAAGGGAGCATGGCATCAAGCACCCGAGGGTCCTGAGCACAACAGAATAGATGTCTTCTTGAGCCCATAGTTAACTCAGGCCCCACTCCATCCCCCGAGACCTGCCCAACCTGCCTCAACACACTCCCAACCCTCAGACACTGCCTAGATTAGGCCTCAAACATTCTTCCATCCCCTCAGATACTAACCAAATATCAGCCGAATACACTTCCATTCCCAATCCATCTTAAATCAGACTATCCTACCATCTTCCCAGGTAATCTACAAACATTGCCTTGTCCTCACAGCTGTGTCTGCAGGTGTCTCTCTTCCTGCCATACAACGTGATCTACAAGGGGTGAGGACATAGAGTCCACGCATCGGAAAAAACTTGCATTAATATTTAAGTGATTATCATGTGCCAAGCTATTCTAAAGCCTGCTTTATGTCTTTTAACCCATTAGTTACTTGCCCCAATTCACAGAGTTACTAAGTAGCAGTCCAGCTAATTCCAGAGCCCAAGCTTTTTCTACTACTATAGTGCCTGCACTGAAGTAATTTGACCAAGGTCAACAGCTAGTAAGTAGTTGAGCCATTACTAGTGGACTACAACTTAAGCCTCCTCAGTCCTGGCTCGTTGCTTTTCCCAGTACACACTTCTCAATGGCTCTCTCTTCTACGAGGATCCAGCCATTTCTGGGCATTGTCACTTCTACAATATAATTCCTGTAAACAGCCTTGGAGAAAGCTGCCCCTCCCTCCTTACCAGAGGAGTTGTAGCTTGCACATCCATATACAGAGGTCGCAGTACTGTCTCGGCCTCTGCAGCAGTGGCTGTATCTGAGGGAACGGCAGACTGGGGAGCACGGTCTACAACTGACAAGAAAATGGAATGGAGCGGCCAAGTGAGAGAGGATGCAACTGCAGACACAGGGCCTCCAAGGTAAAAGCTGGATGGAGGTGAATTAAGTTTAAGGCATGCTGGAGTCGAATCTCAGTGTAAAAGGGAACAAAACAGAAAACTTGAGGAAACTATAAAAGGCGGTAAGGGAGAGAGGGTTCTTAAAGGGGGATGTGGCGACAAAATTCAAATTGCGTCATTGGGAGTAGGGAGGGTTCTGAAAAGACAGAGCCATTTAGAAGCAATGTGGAGACAAGAGTAGGTAAGATCTCCAAAGGTTACTGGCTGGAGGACTAACATCTCTGAAAGTTGGCCAGGAGAGGTCTGAAGGCCGAGCCTCAAAGGCTCTGAGGGCCTGCGGGGCAGGATCTGAGGGAGGGGGCGCTGCGAAGTCAACCGTTCCAATGGCCGGTCTGAGAAAGTTTGAGGGGTGTAGCCAAGAGGAAAGGTCAAAGGGTCTGGTAACCAGCAGAAGAGGGACGCTCCGGACTATTCAGGTGAATGCCCGGCCGAGAGAGGTCCGCGCCTGCAGGGAAGGTGGCAGCGAGCGGGACCCGGAGCGTACCGCGCAGGCGCAGCCCCCGAGTGGGCGCCTCGGGCCTCGGCCCCTGAGCAGCAGGCAAGGCTGCGGCCGCCCGCCTCCAAGCGGTTCGCAGCAGCATGGTCCCGGTAGCAGAGGCCCTTTGCCGAAGCGTCTTCAGTCCTCCGCTACGGGATCCCGGAAGTACTGCTCCGCGCCCCGGAAGCGATTCTTCGGGCGGTGAGCACGCTCGGCCTTGCGTTCTGTGTGAGACGTAAGCTGAGCGACCGAGGCCGCGAGCGAGGTGAGGTGGGGGCACCGCGGCGCGGGGATCCGAACGCTAAGAGGGTGATGGAGTCGGGCTACGAGCTTAGTTTCCTTCCCCGACTTCCCCGAACCCTTGGGCCCGGTCCCCACTCCCCGCCTGACTCTCGGGCTGGCGGCTAGGCCCGCACTTCCCTAACCCTCGAACCCTGCAGATGCCGGTGGCCGTGGGTCCCTACGGACAGTCCCAGCCAAGCTGCTTCGACCGTGTGAAGATGGGCTTTGTGATGGGTTGCGCCGTGGGCATGGCGGCTGGGGCGCTCTTCGGCACCTTTTCCTGTCTCAGGTGAGGGGAGCGGGCGGTGATCTCTGGGCGGGACTACCGGACCTTCCCGCCCCACTCCACTCGGCCTGCAGCCTAAACAAAGCCTCCTTCGTTCCAATTCCCTCGCTGTCCTGTAAAGAGCGAGACTGATTTTCTAACTACCTTCAGTCTGGAAGGACAGGGCGGCAACCTCATTGCTTGAGAATACGAATTCTGACTCAGACTGCTCTCTGGCCCCTACCCGTAGGCAAGTTGGAGTTTGACTTTGAAGTGTAGAATGAGGTCAGTAACATCTACCTCATAGCGTTGTAAGGATCAAATCAGACCACACTTAGCACAGAATCTGGCACGTTTTAAGTGCTCAGTAAATGGTTATTACTACTATCGTTGCTGTTACTTTTATTTCCAATTGTGCATAGTGAAACAAACTTGTTGAGCAGTTTTACTGTACTAGGAACAGGATGTAGAAATGAAGCAGATAAATTCTACAGCCTGACATGTCATTTTCACAGGTAGTAGACTATTATTCCCATTTTTCCAGATTGTTAATTACCACTTATTGAGCACTTACTGTCAGTCACTGTGCTGAATGCTGTACGTGTGTTGTCACAACAATCGTGTGAATGATATGATCTCCGTTTTACACTTGACACAGCCTGTAAATTGCAGAGCTGGGCCTTGAACCCACGTCTGACTCCACAATCATTGTTTTAGCACTAGGAAACTATCTAAAAGAGGAATGTCTTTATTGGATCTTATATAACCTGGAGATAAAACAGGCACAGAAAACTGGTTTCCCTGTCCATGTACTTTACATTGCATCTGCTTCCTCCCATCAGAAGAATCCCCCTAGAGACCCTGATGGATCCTTTTCCTTGTCAATATCCACTTTAGGTGGGAAGAGATAATGTCCCGCCGGGCTTCAAGAGTGCTTGATTCATCATTAGAAACACAAATTGGAAAAGGGCAGTTAACGCCTCTGCCTGTATTTTTGTTCCCAGTTGGCCCCATCTTGGTTTCTTCCTCTCTCAGGATCGGAATGCGGGGTCGGGAGCTGATGGGCGGCATCGGGAAAACCATGATGCAGAGTGGCGGCACCTTTGGCACATTCATGGCCATCGGGATGGGCATCCGATGCTAATCAGGGCAATGGTTGCCCACTACATCCCCCTCCCATCAGTCTCAGCCCATGTACTATAATAAAACAAAAGTCTTTGAGTAGTCTGGATGTCTGTTACAGAGGGATTTTTTTTCTTCTCAGCGGATTACTCAGCTTGCTTAGAGATCTGATGTGGCCTAATTAGATTTGGTGTATGTTTCACAGGGCCTGTCCATTTCTGCCTGCCTGCAACTTTCCATAAATTCTAGCAAACCCTAATTATTCAACTCTTTAAGGTTGATGCTATTATCACTGTTCTAAAGGTGAAAAACTGAGGCTAAGACTAGATTACCTCAGTCACACTGCAAAAGGGGTTTTTAATTCACAAATCTTATTTCCAATACTATACTATTCATCCAAAAATTGTCCTTCAGACATAGCTGGCTTGATCAGAACAACAAATCATCCACAAACTCAATCAGACACTTGTAGCTTAACTGCCTAAATTCCAGATGATTTTCTAGCCAGCCACAGGGGATGTAAATTACATCAAGTGACCACCCACAAAATTCTATTAATTGGCTTGGTAAGAAAGGTCTTAGTAATGAGCCAAGTGCCTATCCCTCACCTGCTTAGGGCATACACAGCCCTTAATAGATTTTGCTCTTAACTGCATTGCCCCTCAAGTATTCCTAATCAGAAACTAGGAAAATGTTAAAATAGATAAAACTACACTGGAGTATTTTGGGGGCATAAGGACTCTACCAAGATAGCTGTAGCAGCTACAGATTTCCCAACCAAAGAGTGGGATACCTGTCTCAGGAACTGATTACCCATTTGAACTGTGGTCTATGCATCATACTATTCAAATTATTAAATTCTTAGGTTTGCTTTGACTGTCATTTACAACCCAAATTACATTCTGTGGTGGTGGGCAGATGAGATTAAACAAATATCTAAGGCAACGTTTGCCAGCCCAGTTCCCTGGAAAGCAATGACAAAATAAACCTGATACGACTTGATTCAAGAATAAACAACTAATTATGAAGATAACAGATGATTTGGAAAGAAAAAAAATTCCCTAAGTCTGCCCCAAAGGGACACTGCTGGCCAGTGTTGCAAAATAAACTTGAATCTTGAAAACTTTCTTCAACTTAAATAAAGCAATTAAGGGAAGAAATTATAAATATCTGTCAAAAGGGTTGGTAGAAAATTACATCTCCAAATTCAAACTGATTAAATATCTTGCTATCTGAATAAACCTATGAAACTTGTGCCTCAACGCTAACAAATCAAGTAGAAACAGATACAATCAAGTAGAAGCAGGTGAGGAAATCAGTACTGGAATGTAATCATTCCATTAGGAGCAATGTTACCTACTCAAGAGTTCAACCTAGACAGAAAAACCTGCAGTAGAGTTGAGCATAAATGAAGACTCACTGCCCATGTAAAAGATAAAGCTCAAAAATCCCTTAATAAAGTAACAAATGCAGTTAAATCAACTTGGGAAACCAGTTTGAGGTTACAACATCTTGTTCTGTATTTACTTTTGAATAATTAGACATTTTTTCACAAAGATGCCCAGACAATACAAGAGACTGGAAGAATGCCCATTTAAGGGCTGGGCAAATTTGTTTGCTTTTGTTTTTGGTAAATCCCTCAGTTTTGATATAGTACCCTAAATAAGAAGTACAGTGATAAGATACAGTGACATAGAGGAGTGTACAGGGACAACTCGAGGGCAAGAAATTTTCCCAAAGCGATAGGTACTGAACTACTAAAAGTCAAAGAAACTAATATTCTATTTTCAAGTTTCTATGACTTTAAAACATTTCAAAAATGAAGATTTCTTGTGGCCTTTTTAAGAGAATTTTATTTGAGTGGTTCTTACAAAGATTGTTGCAATATGAAAGTCATTTGTTTGATAGAAATATCAAGCTGTCTTGTCAAACACACTGAAGTAACCCAAAAATATATTTCAGAGCTCACAGAGCTTAAAAAGAGCAAAGATTATATGCAACCAGACAAAACCTATATCTGCATTTCCTATTTCTTGCTTAGACTGCTTTGCTTATCAGACTGTCACTAAACATCTTGAGGAAATGCAAGGATCATTTTGTTTGGAATCTTAAGACACACCAGAACACATAATATTTACAAAGAAACTTTTACAGATACATTAATTGAAAAAGATACCATCCAGAAATGTAATTTTGAAATCTCCTCTTCTTGCCAACTGATCAGAATGCAAGATGAGATGTTAATCAAACAGCCCTTTAGCTGTCTTGAATTTCCATACACTAAATGTGTATTCCAGAAACCTCTGCTGAAGCATTAGCCAAGTATCAACATTAGTGAAACGTGAACTGTAACTGCTGTGTAAAAAGTTAGGCTTCTGAAACATTAAAAACATTACATCCCTGTCTGCCTTTTTACATTAAGCACATTTGTTCCCCTAGAGCTATTCCTATAGATCCTTAATGTAATTTTCTACATGTACATTTAAAAGGCAGAACAAGAGAACAGCTTTGTATACAGTGGGATTTGCTAGTTAGGGAGAATGAGCACACTGCATTCCTGTTAACATTTTTATTTTTTCAAGGTAACAGGAATAGTATACAAATGACAGTAGACCCTTGCCTCTTTATTTTTATCTAAATAAAAGATAACTCAAGATGAATTCTCAAGAAAGAAAAAAAGCTATATACATAAGGGACTATTATCTTCCTTCATCGTCTACTTGGAACCAGTAGTTGTGTTGCTGTCATAGAATCAGGAAAGAGGTTGTGATAAGTTGGAAGAGGTACATATGCTGCTGTTATCATTTTACCTGTTGAAAGAAACAGATATGGTGGGTTAGCATCTTCACTTAGTTTTAGACCCTTAATAATAATCATTCAGAAAAAAAGATCAGACTCACCAGCAAACCACCTGCCATGCAAGGCATTGACAGCAGCAATAGCTGCAGCAATTGATGGGCACTTCACATACACATTGCCCTAAGATACAACCAAAAAAAAGGTTAGGGCGTTGCAATATACAACATGGATTCAAATAGGTTTATTCACGTTCCCTATAAAAAAAAGTGCTCTACAACTACGCAACTGTTTCACTAGCTAATATGTACACCTACAATTTTACTGAAAACCGTTTATTCCCCCAAAGACTGCCCCATACTATCTTTTCTCTATGACTGAAAACTGCTAAAGAATGAACCAAGATGCCAAGATATCATGGCAAGCTTTGAATACACATCACCAACACTGCTACACAATGGCCTGGTCTACTCTTCAATTATTTTGAAAGTGTCTTTCTTTTGGAGGGTGTATATTTATTGAGGAAAAACCCAAAACTCTAAGACATAATATGATCATAATATGCTCCAAGTATGTGTGAAGATTAAGACACAAAAGAGAGTAACAACGTCCAATCTTTGTTTATTAAAAAGATCAAAATACCTGAGCTGAATTTTTGTCAACATAAATATGAATAACTCCTCCATGTTTATTACATTCTTCAATCACATCATCCTTAATCTCTGTATCCCATCCAACTTCTTCTTCTCTGTAAGAAAGTATGAAACTCTATTAGACACTATTCAAACTTATAAAATGTTACATATATTCTCTATATTTTAAATTGCATTCTTTTAATCTAAAAAAGTCACTGATATTAGCAGGTATGGGGCACTGGAGGAAATCAAAAGATAATATAAAACATTATTTCCAACCAAGCTTATAAATTTTTTTAACTCTAAATTACTGTTTAAATGGTTTATTGACATCTTTCAAATGATACTTATACCAATTTATCACCATTTCATAGCTAAAGCTAAAATAAAGAATTTGGTATTAACAGAAGAATACAAGAATTCCAGGCTCTTTCTTTGGTAAACAATGAACTAATACATAAACAATGCAAACAGCATGTTACAAATTATTACACTTACTATATGAAGCAGTATTTCATCAAATATATTGGCTGATATCAAATCAACCAAACAGAAAACCTACATTTACAGCGGAATATGGTGAGGTGTCACATTAACGTTTCAGTCAAGGACGGACTGAATACACAACGGTGGTCTCATAAAATTATAACAGCTGAAAAATTCCTATTGCCTAGTGCATCTGGAAGAAGACAGTCAAGAGGATCACCCATGACTTAAAAGCATTTTTGCTAGGGATGAGGAGGTCACAAAAATCAACAAGGCTGTGGTAAAGATGGCAAACGACTTTAACCTGGGTGAAGATGAGAATGAACACTGAGGAGCTCCCTAGAGGTGGTTCCTGAGGAATTGACTAATGGAGTTGTTGGTACTGGAACAGAAACACATAGCTGAGAAGCAGCAAGAGAAATTCACGGTGAAAGGTTTAACAGAAGCTTTTGCAGACCTCAACAAGCTCCTTAAGTTTAAAAACATGGATCCAAACACCAAAAGGTTTTCATTAATAGAGACGAATGCTCATGGTGCATTGTCTGCTTATAAGCAAATTTATGATGAAAGAAACCAACCAAGCAAACCACCAAGGACATATTTCTGAAAACAGTGACAACTCCTCAGCAGCCTCAGATATGTCCCTCATGAGATTTTCCAGAAAAAGGCATTGTTACCATAGGAGATGACAGCTCAATATACATGTTACTGCCCCTGAAGACCTTTCAATGGGACAAGATGCGGAGGTGGAAGACAATGATACTGATGATCCTGATGCCAATCCTTGGCTACTATGTCTTATTTTTTAACCAAAATAGTTTAAAAAGTTAAAAAAAAAATAATAGAAACAAGCTTACAGAATAAAGATATAAAGAAAATATTTATGTATAGCTATACAATCTTCGTGTTTTAAGCTAAGTGTTATTACAAAAGAGTTTAAAAATTTACATGTTTATAAACAAATACAGTTGTTTAGTTTATTATTGAAGAAAAATGATTTTTAAAAATTTTATTGTAATGTGAAGTGTATAGTGTTTATAACGTCTACAGTAGTATACAGTAATGTCCTAAGCCTTCACATTTACTCACTACTCACTCACTGGTTCATCCAGAGAAACTTCTAGTCCTGCCAACTCCCTTCATGGTTAAGTGCCCTACAGGTGTACCCTTTTTTTAATCTTTTATACCGTATTTTTAGTGTAGCTTTTCTAGGTTTAGATACACAAATACTTACCATTGTGTTACAATTGCCTACAGTATTCAGTAAAGTAACATGCTGTGCAGGTTTGTACCTTAGGAGCAATAGGCTATACCATACAGCCTAGATGTATAGTAGGCTCTACCAATTAGGTGTGTTTAAGTACACTCAACGATGTTCACACGATGATGACAATGCCTAACAATGCACATCTCGGAACACATCCCAGTCGATAAGCGACACATAACTATGTATTATAAACACGATCTATAAAACCAGTGAGAAGAGTTTGAACTGATTAATAAACGGCATTCCAATCACTGGTTAGGCACCGGGAAAGAAATATTCCTAATTCACAGCATGCAATAATGAATAGAAGAAAAATTTAGAAGATACTGTTCTGCTATTACACTGAAATAAAATTTCAAAGCTAAGAACTGGTAAAAAAGTAAACTGCTGACAAAAATAAATACCACTCAAACTTCATAAAAAATATTTATATATAAATGGAAAACATAAAATTTGCATAACTTTCAATGCAATTCCAATCTTACATCCAAAGGAAATAATTAGCAATGTGCATAACAATACTACAAGAATCAAAACTGTTGCACTGTCAATTATCAAATATACTGAAACAGCCTAAATATTAACTTAGAAAACTTAATATTACACCTTTCACAGTATACCCTTTTGAACTGGACCAAAGTATATTACTTACGTTTGAGGGTTAAACATGTTAGAGAGTTGGAAACACTGTGTTGCAAGAGGTTGAACAGAGGCAGCTGCAGCTAAAGCTGAAGCTAAAAAAAAAAAAAAAAAAAAAGAGAGAGAGAAATTAGTTTCATAGAAAATGCATCAGAATATCCCTGATGAATAAGACAAACCCCAAACCACTAAATCCCAAGTATAAAACTAAGGGAGTCAGGCACTTCATTAATTTACCTTATTTAATAATGCTATCAAAGTATTTAATAGTACTCTATTTTAGTTGCCAGAAAACTGAGGCAACCTAATATTTGAAATGGCCAATCTTGAGTAAGTTGGGAGTTTTATTTTTAGAAGGAAAACTAAACTCTACATGTAAACAAAATTCATTCCATTAAACAAATATCAATACAATCAATCCAGAAAGGCAAAGGATCAAATGGAAGATTAATTTTGAAGAGCTGCTGGAGTTTATACCCTGAGAAGCAGGGGATGATGAAAATGATCTTTAAGACACCAAATAAATCTATATACCCTTATATTTGTTAGGTTTCTGCCCATAAATTTAGTTACATATTTTCTTTTAAATGTATGAGCATAAAAAGATTAAGTTTTAAAAATAAGATGCATAAAATCATCCAAGCATTTAAGATTTAATATCCTAGAAATATAAATCCTATTAAAAAATCAAATTGCTATTTTTAAAATGTATTTTAGCACAAAATAAGAATAATAGCATTTATTATAGATTATAGAATATTCACTGGTAAAAATAAGAAACTACTGGACACTAATATTTAGAAGCAATATTTAAAGCCCATATTGGTTTTAATCTTGAAGTGAGAGCATTTTCCAGGACAGCTGCTCCACTGCTTTCATGTCATTTACAAAACATTACCAGTAGCTGTTACAGAACTCACCGTAATCATAATATTTGACCAAATTTCATCCCAATACATAACAACAACAAACAAAGCTAAGGATAAAACAGTGCATTAGAAATTATAGTAATTAAAATGAACGATCACCTGAGGAAGTATCAGAAATATTCCAGTAAGCAAAAATTAGGGCTGTGCATGAAATACATCGTAAAAAAATGACTGTTTCTAATAGAATTACAAGTGCTTTTTGCTTCTTTATATTTTACTTCAATAAACAAGTATTTTTCCTTAATAAGGCTTTGTATTAAAATAAAAAGGCTAAACTAACATCTCAAATTCTACTGGGGAAAGTTAAAGATGAAAGCATGCTCATATTACAATTAATAAAAATGAAGCCCACTGTGTACCTTATCATATCATAAACAAATGGAAGTATGCTTGGAAAATACACTGGAAGGTCATTACAAAACAACTGAGCATGACTTTTTCCAATTTCTCAAATTAACTATGATAATATAAATTACCACGCATACCGAAAAATATTTAGAAAATGTATGATATAAACATTCTGGTTCAAACCTAGGTAAATGCAGAACACAATGAACTCAGCATAGAAATACAGCTAATAGGAGAATCTACTAGCTCTACTTTTTAAAATCTGTTAGGAAAAAAAGAATTGAGTAAAATTGTCCCAACTGTTGGAAAAGTTAAAATGTTTAATTCCCGACTATCAAGGAACATGGTAGACCTTTCTCACACAGAATCATTTCCCTAAATGACCAAGTATATCCTATAAAAGATGAATACCAAATTTGACAATAGTAAAATGATCTAGCAAATGGCAGAGATTTACTTGAAAATTAAGAACAGCCTACTTTATAAATCATTTCAATCTCTGAAATCTGAGTGCAATTTATTTCTGGATAATCTTCTCAAGGCTTGGTACTGGTTTATACAAATCAGTGGAGGTACAGTCAGTTTTCCTAACTTTCCTATTAAATTCAGACTCCATGTTCTAAAGGATTTGTCTACTAAACTAACAAATTTCATTTTCTGACTTCTATATAAAACTTATGAACAATCCGAAGACAAAGATAAGCATACAAGGCTGAAAATAATTTTGAGCAAGCTAAAGCAAAAAAGCACGAACATTTTTGTTTTCTTTATCCATGTAATTGTAATGATTTCGATTAGGCCTCTGAAACATACATTACCACATAGCTTACTGTGTATACACCACTATGTCATTCTGTGAAAATTGGGTTCAAAATACAAACTATAATATGATACACTAAATGTAAACAACTATGTTTTACTACATTTACATCTATTTCAAAGACAAATAAAAAGCTCAACTCACCTTCAGTCTGTTGGGAAAGTCTTGTTTGCAAATCTATAACAAAAGAGAATTCTACAGCTCAGTGCAGGAACAATGAAGAGCCTCAACTAACAGGGTAAATGTCAGGAAAGCATTAATAAAAGAGGACTACAGTAGCAGGGTTTATCAAAATGAACTTCTAGTAAAACCTGGCAGCCAAACCTCCTTCCCCATTCCTCATTGACAAGGCTTTGGGGCCTTTTTCTTTCCTCCTATTCTAGGAAACTTACTCATGCCTCTATGCCTCTCTCTTCCTATTCCTAGTACTCTTCCATATCTCAAATTCATTCCACTATACTACTCTTGACATGGGAATAATGGGAAATGGGGAAAGGGAAGCACACCGGTCAGAAAATGCATGAAAACCCTGATCTTGAGAATTCAATTCCAAGTACTTGGGATATTCAACTATTTACTGTTCTATCAGTAGCAGTAAGCATTTTAAACTTTAAAAGTTTATAGTAAAATGTAAACACTGCAACACTACATGTCAAACAGCTGTAAACACTTTAAATAATCTGCCAATTAAGTAGTAGGACTATCACCAGTGGGAAAGACACCATTCTAGCTATTAAAAGTATACATTATTTAAGTGCTTTTAAGATTTAAATCATCAGGTCCAGCCCAGAAGGTTGAGTTTTATGAGGGTCTGGTTTCCTGGCCTAGTCTGGAAATTTAATGAGGCAGGAATGAAATTTAATCAGGTTTAATATAATCTATGAAGTACAAGAAAAATTTAAGCATCTAGTCAATGTTAAAAATAAACAGAATGGGGATTCAGAATTAAAAAATAAACAGAATGGGGATTTTCACCAATCTGTTTTCTGATACTATCATCATTAACATTTCTACATTGGAAGACAAGAGAAAGCTGCTAGCAAGTGAAAACAGCAGCAAGTCTGAATGGTAAAGAAAACGCCATAGTGTTGTAAAGCTATCTTGAAATTACAGAAACATACTACATGGAAATTATTTAGATTTAGTAACGTCATTTTCAGTAACGTGTGATTCAAATGCAAGACTTCATTATCATTTGGGTTTCCTGCTGAATACAGAATATGATCATAAAACATGGGCAAAAATGAAAAGGGATCTGCAGGCCAACTTATATCGGGATCTAAGAATACCTGGGTCCTATGTGATGAAAATTGGCATCTCAGGGAGTTGAAGAAATTTAACTGGTGTGTACTCAGGGAACTTGAAGATATGACCATAGGAATACTATCAATAAACTTTAAATTATAACACAATTGTCTTTATCCCCCTTAAAATGGTAAAAAATGTACAGACACCAGAAAGTCATACTATTTTAAGTATATATAAATCCCTATCCAACTTTCAAAAATTACTTTTCAGTCGTTTGTGACAAGTTAGGAAACAAAAGCATGGGTTTCATAAAGATAAGAACTCTAACCTATCTTAGGAACTGTTAAACTTCCAGAATAAGACATGAAGATATAATGATGACCCACCCCTGCTTTCAAAAAACAACTTTAAAGGACTTAGAGGATAAGAGCCTCAAACACATTAACGCTCAGCAATTTATTTAATTTCAAAAAGGATGTGTAAAGTTTTAACGATGTCCCAGTTACATAAATAATTATCTAAAAATTTAGTGTTGATTATTGTAAACTCAGAAGCAATCGCAATTTATGGGAAGTGTAGGAAAACAGAATCAAACTTTAAAATGAGGTCTATAAACACTAAAAAGGGCAAATATAATCCACAGATAACTAAATGGCTATTTTCAGCAATCCATACAGACATTTAGAAATAGCTGATCACAATCACTAAGCCTGTACACAGTGGCTGTCCAGGGATGTGTAATCATAATCATGCAAAATAGAAAAAATAATGGCTGAGGATAGTAGGGATGCCTAACATGGAAAAACCTTCAATTAGTTGAAGACAGTATTTATGAAGATCAAATCAACATTATTTGATATAGCATCCAGAATATAACATAAGATTGTTTAGAAATGACTCAAATGTCACTGCATCAAATCCCTGAAAGGAGGGAACAAATCTTGTTCGCTAGCATCTAATGCAAAACCTAGAATATGGTAAACAATCAAGCATTTTCAAAATTATGGAAATGATCTGAACAATAGGAAGTAATTCAAAGATACTGATTTCACATTAAACAATAACTTTCAAACCACTGACTAGCATGTATTTCTGGAAGTGATGGGTGTTTCCTTTAATATCTTCAATTACAGCAAGTGGCATTCTATGACTACTTGTTCACTGTAAAGAAATTAAATGTCTAATACTTGTTTAAAAAGTCAAAATAAAAAAAACAGTAATTCAGGGATACTTGGGGAGTCATCAAATGACCCAAATACAGAAATGCATTAAGGGTTATGAGTTTTCTTCTTATAAGGAAATACTGGCATAATTTTGTCAGAAATTCTGCAGAATAACTACCTATCAGATTTCAAAATAAATCATACGATTTGGCAGGAAGGACAAGAATCTAAAGGCAGGTTTTCTAAAGGTACTCACAAACTTTTGGATATCCACTAAAAACGAAACAATGAAAATCCTCTCTCTCTAAAAATAAAGAATAACGTAAAAGTAGAAAGGGTCCTCTCCTCTCCTTTAATTAGATAATGAGCTTTCGATTTAAAAGGTAAGCATGAAGTAACCAATGGACCTTTCTATATATTCAGATGCAGTACCGTGATTTACATATTTTACATATTCTCAGAGTCTCATTTTATAGATAAGATCAAAGGACCAATTCATGATAGAAACTGCCATATTTTTCTTGGGGTAAGTATTTCTTGTCATCCGAAGTCCAAAATACAAATGGTTCTTCTTAGATGTTCTAAAAGCAAGTCTTCAACATTTCAAGGTTAAATACTATCCTAGCTCATAGATTAGGGTTAATATCAAGGTTTATAAAAGCAAATTTCAGATAACTAAATTAAGCCATAAGAGTGGAGAACAATGTGTTTCATAAAGTGAATCCTTTGGTACATAATTATAATAAACATTTCTCTCCTCTTTTCCTGCTCTCTCAAGAAACTTCATTCTCTAACTCAACAACTCAAAAAAGTATGCATTACTTAGCAGTTTTCTCTTCACTCTTGATATTGCAATTATTTTATTAAAGGTTGATTTAAAGGCCTTGTTTTCCGAACTCGAACATTAAAAAGAAACATTTTTTTCTTTAAAGCAATATAAGCTTTTTGGTCTTTAATGACAGTGATGTATTTAAAAAGGTCTAACTTACAAATTTCAACTAAACCTTGGTGTGCAGGGTTCAAAAATACCCTGACAGCTTACTATGATTACTGGATAATTCTGTCCTATATCTCCACTTCCTTATATGAAGTCTTGAAATGTACAGGCTAAAAGTACTTGATGAATTGAATTCTCAGTAAGTCCTTTTAAATGCAAAAATTTGGCAAATTTTCGAATTAGGTGGAAAAAACAACGATTTCAAATTAGAAAAGATTCAATTCCTACCTGCCACAGCACCAAATGCCAAAGAGCCACTCATCTGTAGAGCTTGCTGTGCTGCTGGTGGGATCTGCAAACCTGTACCTGTAAAAGAGTAAGTCTTAAAGTCCTTATTGTATTAAGAGCACAAAAACCTAGTTTTCTGTATGCATACTACCAAAGTCACTTCACTAAAACAAATTACAAGGAGGCCACAGAATAAGAGCTGCAACTGAATTTATTCTCGGGTAAGGAATCCTGTAACTTAAGCTGTGGTACTCAAAATGCACCACCATAAAGTAGATTCTATTAGAACTTTAAGGCAAGGAAGTTCATCTATAATTTTAAATTGCATGTGCTGCTCAAGGATAACATCAAATCCAACAAAGAAATAATCATTTCCAATTATTAGTCCGCACAGTTACCTTTCTCATTACCATACCCACAATAAATCATTCACAACACTAGTAAAAACTTACCCTCTGCAAGTCTTGCCATTAACTGGAGACGACCAGTTGTTCCCAAGTCAATTCCAGTCCTTTCCAGTTCATCACTGTCTAGAAATGAGCTAGCACTGGAAGCATCAGTACGTTCAGTAACATGACCAACTTTCATTGGCCTTCCTGCTAACTCGAATCCATTAAGTTGTTCCAAAGCCTTCTTGGCACATTCTGAATCAGAAAACTATATAATTGAGAGACAGGGTAAAAAGTCCCAAATATTAGTTAACATGTATAACCAAGGTAAGGAAATGCTTACTTATTAAGTCTAGTTTATGCAACAGCTACAGCTAGGCGGATGGTAAGTTATAAATTTCAAGCTGCAAGTAATATAATCTACATGATTAGATCACAAGCTCATGCAAATAACAGTTGTTGAAGTGGTAGTTTAAATAACAAGATATTTATCAAGTAAGGACACCTATTTTGGGGAATGGAATCTTAGTTACAAAAGGTGAAAAGTAATTTTTCAATCAAACCCTTTTGAATGCTCTGGGATAAACTAAAAGGATGCTTTTTTCCCCTCATAAAAGTGAACTACTCAGAAACACAAGGAGTTCACCCAGATGTTTTTTCTTTTTTTGAGGAAGATTAGCCCTGATGGGCTGCCAATCCTCTTCTTTTTGCTGAGGAAGGTTGGTCCTGAGCTAACATCTCTGCCCATCTTCCTCTATTTTATATGTGGGATGCTTGACACAGCACGGGTTGATAAGCGGTGCGAAGGTCCACACCCGGGATCCTAACTGGCTTAATCCCCGGGTGGCCGAAGCGGAATGCGCAAATTTAATTGCTGCACCACCATGCCAGCCTGAGATGTTATTTTTAACACACAACTTCAGGTCATGTTTTATTGCCAATAAAATCAGTAAAATTCTTAATTCTAGGATGCAGACACAATAAATCTCTAACTCACACACTCTGGTTTTAAGTTTAATGGAAGAAAGGAACATATTGCCATCAACTCCATAGCTAATCTTTCATCAGTACGTTTAAATGTTCAAAAATAAACCTTTTTCTGTTATTGAGATGGGAAAAATTACAAATAGTTATAAAATAGAAAACATTCAGACACACACACGGCACCATATAAACTTACATAATCTAACTTTGCATACAGATCACTAAATCAAAGAAAACATTTCATATTTAATTGATATTAAAAAATTTAAAAATGCTTTGCAAAACATGTCTTGTTTACATATATTTAGTAGTATTCTCATGAAAACGTGCCCACTGACCAAATACTCAAGCAGTAAACCCTATAATATAGAACACTAAATTCTTTAGGTACTAAGTAGGATGAAATACTCAAATTAACATTACATGTAAAATCCCCTGACCACATCACTTTTCTAGGGGGAAAAAGGGGGAATGACCCACACTAATGTTCTTAGAAACAAAATAAAATGTTGGTGAGTTAACAGTTTTAGAAATGACTTTTCTCCTTTCACAAGTACATACTAAAGTAGATAAAATCCCAATAACCAATGAAACAGATTCTCTACCACTATAGAAGAGTTTTAAATTTTACTGAAATTTGGATAGAAGACACACAGATTCCTGATGAAAATTGGGACCTATCTGTATTTTAAACTAAAAATATCCGTTTCCAGCAACTTCCAAGGTCATAATATCATACTTTTGAAAAACTGCTATCATGTAGTTGGATTCCATCATGAAATAACACATTAAAGAATTTACTTTTAAAAGGGCACCTCCATTCACAATTACCCAGCCCTGTGGTCTAGTAGTTAAGATTCGACAATCTCACCACCGTGGCCCAGGTTGGTTTCCTGGTCATGGAACCATACCACCTGCCTGTTAGTTGTGACTGCCTGATGCTGTGATGCTGAAGCTAGGCTGCCAGTATTTCAAATACGGGCAGAGTCACCCATGGTGGACAGGTTTCAGCAGAACTTCCAGACTAGGAAGAAGGACGGGGCCATGCACTTCTGGAAAGATTGGCCAAGAAAACTTTATGAATAGCAGCAGAGCATTCTCTGATATACCACCAAAAGGTGAGAGGATGGTGCAAAAAGACCAAGCAGGTTTCCACTCTGCTGTACTCAGGATCACTATGAATCACAATTGACTCAAGGGCACTAAAAACTACCATTCACAATTATTCCAGCTGCAATCTCATTCCCTAATCAGGGACTAGGCTTAGACAGTTAGCCAAACACTTTAATAAGGTAATCCTGGTGGTAGTTGTGAGGTATGTACATATAAAAAGGATTTTAAGTAAAAAAGAACTCCAAGAGACCTTCCTTCAACTGACAAAAGTGTGTCATAAAAGAGTCAGAGACTGAAAAAGTCATAAAGGAATCACAGACTTCAATTATATGAAGAGTTGGCTACACAAACTGACCACATACAGGGAATTAGTAAACTCATTAAATAAACTTTCACAATTAAAGGACCCTTACTGCTAGTAAGAAATGATTACTAATCGGCAAACTAATTTAAACCATTTGAAAATATTAACCATGACTCCTTCCCCACACTATCAGTAACTAATGAAGTTTTACTAAGCTACTTAGATCACGTCAATCATGGAAACAGCTCACCGTAATAAATCCATATCCCTTGGATCGACCAGTTTCACTATCCATCATGAGCTGGATACTTTCAATCTGAAAACAAAAAGCACAATTATTATGTAAATGAAAAGAAGGGAGGAAAAATATTTTTATTCCTTGAAACAGGACTGAAAAATCACCTCTCCCCCTAAAAAAAAAATCACTGAAAATATATCACAAGCCCCTCATGCCCAAAAACATGTTCTAAAGGCATGGAAAGTCCCAAATAAGAACTTACACACTGGGGGACAGGAAAAAGAAAAGGAAAAATCTTAAATCTTTTGCCTCAAAAACAAACCACTAAGAATCAAAGTCCATTTCTTTGTGAAATACAATCAAGTTAGAAACAAAATCAACACCTTTTTGTTTCCTTTCCATTATCCTAAAAACACGAGACTAATTCTCAATAATACAACACATGATAGATGGCCCAAAATGTTGGAATAACTAAAAATATCAGACGTATGGGGCCGGCCGTGTGGCCAAGTGGTTAAGTTCGTTCGCTCCACTGCGGCGGCCCAGGGTTTTGCTAGTTCAGATGTTGGGCGCGGACATGGCACCGCTCGTCAGGCCACGTTGAGGCGGCATCCCACATCCCACGACTAGAAGGACCCGCAATTAAAATATATACAACTATGTACTAGGGGTCTTTGGGGAGGAAAAGGAAAAATAAAATCTTTAAAAATATATATATACTAGATGTGGTTACAGTTGCACAACTCTGTGAATATACTAAAAAGCAATGAATTGTTCACTTTAAATGGATGAATTGTATGCTTTGTGAATTAAAACACTATATTCTAAATAAATCTGTCCATACGTAGAAAGCATGAAAAAGCACCCATATATTCTATTTCTTCATGTTCTGGTAGTTTCAGGAATGTATTCTTTTTTGTAATGACTGACTAACCCATACAATTATGATTTGTGCACCACTAGTATATTTTCAATAAATAATCTCAACAGCCTAACTTTTACCATTGTTGACACTTAAAACAGTTTACCAAACAGGTTGAATGGGCTAATCAAAGAAAATCAAAGGTATATCCAAGGGCAATGAAGTAGTAGTGAGAAAGATACAGCAGGACCCAAGATTTTTATTCACGGCCATACAATGAATCTTTTAAACCAGAGCCCAGCCTACTATTAATATTTATTTTAAAATGTCTAATCTGAAATGAGGACAAACTGGACAGAAACATGAACAATCTAATTCCTTAATTTAGTAAGGAAGCTTCTCTACCTACCCCTAAATTTTCAGTAAGAAAACGATCACACAAGAAAAAAATATATCTCTTGCTTGGAATGCACAGTACACTTTTATAATTCATGTTGATTTCTTTAAATGATTGATTCTAATAATTACTATGCATTTCACTCTAGCATGATAAACGTTAATAAATTCTATCTTCAAATGATACCTTGTCTCAGGGGAACTATCTTTAAGTTATCACAAATACCTTATAGAACCACCCTCTCCCATCTTAATACTAATCTCACAGAAACATGACAAGCGAGATAGACAGAAATTATTATACAATTATATTTGGTTCAATAATCTATTAAGGATCCACTGAAGAAACTGAGACTTACCCTTCCAAAGGGCTCAAAGATCCCCCGAAGCATATCTTCAGTTATGTTAAAGTGTAATGAGCCCACATAAAGCCTCATAGGTCCAGCACTTCCCTTTTGCAAATTGTTTGCCATTGCTGCAGCTCTGTTTTTTTCCGCCTACAAATTAGAGAAGACAAAATGCACATCACACAGCAGAAACCCAAATCATTTTAAACAGAGCAGTAAATCCCACTCACAGCACAGGCTTGCTTAGTGATAACTTATGTAAAGATTAGTGATGAAACTATGCTAAGTGTAACAAATCATATAAGAGGACAAATACTCTGATTCCACTCAATGTGACCGTGATTAATGGCACTGAATCATACACTTAAAATGGTTAAAGTGTCAAGTTTTTAGATAAAAATATTTTATTTAATATGATATATATTTTCACCATAATAAAAAAAGTTAAAAGGTTTTAACAGCACGTGCAAAAGTTATATATAAAGCAATCATACCCTGCATTTATCCATAAAATGAATCAATCATAAAACTATTTTATGCCATCAGAAGAGGCATCCTGATATCAGACGTGCTAAATGTAGAAAATAAGATTGTTTCTAGGACTATTAAATAAATTAATTACTCATTAAAATTAAAGTACTTTTTTTTTTTTTGAGGAAGATTAGCCCTGAGCTAACTACTGCCAATCCTCTTCTTTTTGCTGAGGAAGCGTGGCCCTGAGCTAACATCCATGCACATCTTCCTCTACTTTATATGTGGGACGCCTACCACAGCATGGCTTGCCAAGTGGTGCCATGTCCACACCCGGGATCCAAACCGGCGAACCCCCGTCCACAAAAGTGGAACGTGTGAACTTAACCGCTGCACCACCAGGCCGGCCCCTGAAGTACTCTTTTAATTTGATACTTCTCAGCCCTTTGTCACGCCAATCCACACACTACTAGGTTGGTCCTCCTCCATCATACAAAGTGAATTAAACCATGATTCCTCACTTTTCCTAACAACTATTTTCCTCTTATTTACATAGAATCAAGTGATAAACATCTAATATTAAGTATCCCCAAACATCAAATAGGACCTATTACTGCCTTTTAGAGATGACAGAAGCTGGTAAGTAATTTGACCACGGTTACATACAGCTTGTTAGCAATGAAACTGGAATTTCAAGTCAGATCTGATTACAAACCTTGGGCACACCTTTATAAAATTATGTAAGTTTGATCAAGTAACCAGATTATTTAGCAGTTATGGACTACTTGTTTTAGTGGTTTGAAAAGCATGAAATACATGACCATTGTATTTGTACTGCTCAAAAATATTCTTTAAATCTTATAGTCTCCATTTAAAAAAACCAAGTTATCAAGTAGTAATAGAAATCACTAACTTGTTTCTTAGTACAAATAAGTACTGATGAGGAATCCTAATACTTTCATATTATGTACTGAAAAGGAGTTTTCATCCTTTTCCCATCCCAGTTTTTACACATCGAAGTACTAGCAAAGAGGAACTAAATCATTATTTGGATTATCTTACAAGATATTCTCAAAATTAGTTTGAAAGATCTCCTTTTCAAGAAATACTAGAACTGATAGCTGTTCAAATTATTCTTAACACTATATAAAATCTTATACAAGTGTTTTTATAAAACAGTGAAAATATTAAATATATTAAAATGTCATAACCCCTCCATCTGAAAGACACCAAGGGAAAAACATGTTCTTAGATGCTGCCATCCCCAATTAATAAATCACAAATCAATAAAATTCTAGACCAAGTTCTCAAGTCTTTTTCATGTAATAGCTATTTACAACTTATATTAAGAGAGAACAGGATGCCACTGAGGATACACTATTATCAAAGTAATGAAGGCAAAGTTAAAAAAACAAAGCTATCCTGAGAACATGTGTCTCAAGGTATAAGTGGTGATTATGTACGGCACAAGATTTCCAGCACTACCAATTATCAAATTTGCAACCAAGAAAAAAATTACCTGTGATGCCTGTACTATAATTGGCACTCCTAAAACACGTTGGCCAGTTAATCCTATTGCTAGAGGCACTGAGCTAACATCAACAAACTCCACGTATGCAATTCCTTTGGAACGTCTTGAATTTCTATCAGAAATCATCCTCACATCTCGAACCTAAAAGGAAAACACACATTTAACACAAGGTTGGTTGTGCAACCATCCACTGTAAGCCACTGTAGATGTAATGAGAAAAGAGGCACATCAGTGATGCAGCAAAGCCATTAAAAAATTTGTAGGCCCACTTCTATCATCTTTTGATGGAGGCATAGCAACATCTATCAATTCCAACACTACTAACTTCCAAATGAGGCAAAACATAAAGGTTACCAAAAATAAATCTCGAAACTGAATTCTACTAAAAGTAAAGATGTGGTGCTTAGCTGCTTTCTCATTTTATCATAATGACAATTAAGCTTGTTTATAATTTTTACTTAGTTGAGCTCTATAAATAGGCTAAGATTACCTTTCCTACTGTAGAGAAAAACTCTTCCAAATCCCTTGGCCGAATTCTTGCAGCCAGCTGCATGCAGAAAACCGTCCTTGCATCTCTTTCCTCAGGAGTTAGATTATCAATAGGTTCCCTAACAAGAGTAAAGAACATAAATTTAATTTTATAACTTATTCTTTTACAACAACTTTTTAAAGTACACTTTCAGTAAACAATTAACCAAAACTGATTTGTCACTATTTCTAGGCACATTTTCACTAAGATTTATACAAATTGTCCATAAATAACTCAATGTGACTTAATTCCTTCAAGAGGATGATAGTTTCCTAATGCTTCTTCTGATAATATCTTACACAGTATCAGAACAAAAGTTCACTGGCCTCGCAAACCTACAAATGGTAATTTCTCCAGAACAACAAAAGGCTAATCAGAACCCTGAGAGTTAAACGATAGGCAAAGGAAATAAGCACTGACTAGTTACCAATGTTGGACTGGTCCAAAATTAGTAGAAAGAATTATTTCTCAGAATAAAACCATCAAGTGAAATTAAATTTGATGACCACAGATGATAAACTTGAAAGTAAAATCCAAAATGATGAAAACTGTTTGATTCTACGAATTTTATTTTATAAACTAAGATAAATATATTCAACAGTGAGCTGGTTGTTTATTAGAATTAGATCAGTCTTAGCAAGGCTCTACAAACTTAATATCCAAAGAAATGTTTGTGGTTTTTTTAAAAATTGGCACCGAGCTAAGGACTGTTGCCAATCTTTTCTTTTTTTTCCTGCTTTTTCTCCCCAAATACCCACAGTAACACAGGTATATATTTCAGTTGTGGGACCTTCTAGTTGTGGCATGTGGGATGCCACCTCAACATGACCTAATGAGCGGTGCCATGTCCCTGGCCAGGATCCAAACTGGTAACACCATGAGCTACCGAAGCAGAGCGCATGAACTTAACCAACTTGGCCACAGGGGCGGCCCCCAAAGAAATGTTTCTTGATGGTTAAAGAATACTGAGACAATAACTACAAGCAAATCAAAAATGGAAAGCAGGAAGTAATCTAGACAAATATCAATAGTGGGATTCAATCTATTCATTTTTACAAATGGCCTTAAAGAGGGAGTATACTTCTAAATTTACAGAGGAAACTAAAGTGAGGAAATAAGGGCGAAAAGTAAAAGAGCACAATACATGAAATTTAATTTCACAGAAAAATAAAAGTGTTATCATTATCTACTACAAAACATCATTAAGGTTAAGGTTCTAAGTGAATCTTTTTTTTCTTTTTTTGAGGAAGATTAGCCCTGAGCTAACTGCTGCCAATCCTCCTCTTTTTGCTGAAAAAGACTGGCCCTGAGCTGACATCCGTGCCCATCTTCCTCCACCTTATATGTGGGACGCCTGCCACAGCATGGCTTGCCAAGCAGTGCCATGTCCACACCTGGGATCCGAACCGGTGAACCCCGGGCTACCAAAGCGGAACGTGTGCACTTAACCACTGAGCCACCAGGCCGGCCCCTTAGTGAATCCTTAAAGATGTAAGCATAAACATGCTCTTATCCACATTCTGGACACTTTTAGGAAGTACTTTTCAAATACTCCACCCACAAAATTCTGGCACATCCCCTTGGGAAATTAATACGTAATTTTAAACATGCTACTGTAAAACACAAGTACAAAGCTGGACTAGATCCAGAGAATGAGAACTAAAAGAGAATTTTCTTATGAAAGAAAACTAAATATTAAAGAGCAAAAACCTCAATATCTGCTGCAAATAGAGCTTTTAAAATAATTAAGGTTTTCACCAAATCCTAGAATAATTAGAATATACCAAATAACAAGACAGACTCAAACTTAAAAGGCACCCTTTTAAGGGAAGCTAGAATATCAGTAAAGGACAGTGCTACCATACAACAAAACATTCCTTGAACCAAAATGGTAGATTGGATGGATAAGTCTTATATTTACTTAAGAGGAAAATAACTCATAGAAACATTCAAGAATGTAGGATTACTACTTAAACATAAGTCAATTTGGTTTAGACTTTGAAAATTAAAAACGTTCTCAGTAAAGAGAGAGAAATGACTGTTACAACTACTTTCCCACATGAGGCTATTTCAGTAACTCTAATTTATTAATTCCAAAGGTGAGTCAAGTGTATTTAAAGTTTCCTATAGCTATCACTAAAAATTTTCCTTAATGTAAAAGGTAAGATCACATGTATTATCTACACACTAAAATGGTAATTACTGCTCCATTCTTAAAAGCTGTACGAAATTAAAATGAAAGTTACTGAAAACTTAGAAATTCACACTGGTTTAACAGTACTAGTACTGCAAAAGAAAGATTTAATATGCTTGAAATTACTAAATGTCATTAAATTTAGCAGTAAGCATAAACTGCAGCAGCTTTATAAAAGTTAGCAGCTCTAAAGAAAAGAAATAGGCACAACAGCTACCTCACAGGGCTCTTGTCTTTTCTGAATGGACTTTTGCTTCGGGATCGTCGTCTGCTGCAAAGTTAAAAAGTTTCATAAGTTACCCACCAAGTACACCACATTAGTTCCTTGAAAAACAATTTAAACAATTCAGAAGTATGTTTAAAAACCTTAATTTGATGCTATGAGGCAACCCAATCTTTCCTCGGATGGCACTGTTAAATTTTGGTCCGGAGCTAAAAAGGAAACACAAAATTACACTAGTTACAGGTTTAGGGTCTTGCTAAGATCGCGTTCATGCGCTCTCCAGCAAGTTTAACACTGTTTAGGCTGCTTCTTTTCCACCTCAATTATGAAGAGGAAATAAAGAGGCTTTTTCTCTTAACTCTATCCCAGGCAAACTGTTCTTATAGTTATCCATCCTGGACCACTGTGAGGTGCCAAGACCAAAGGTTACAGCCTCAAAATATATAAGATTCTGAAAACGCTCCCTTTCATTTTCAGTCTATAGTTTTCTTTTTTTAATTACACATTTATAAATACATTCCTGAGGTTTAAAAAAAAAAGTGAAAATAAATCATCCTTAACTTTCCTCATACCAAGAGTTAACTACAGTTAACCATTTGGTGTGCGTCTTTGCAGATCCTCTCTCAGGAAAATACGTTTTTATACATCCGTACATGTACAATGGTCATACATACGTTTCCTTGTTTGAAGGACTTTTTTTAAAAAATAAGAGGACTAATTCTTTAAATAATCCTGAAACTCCCAACTTTCCCATTTAACACTAAGTCACAGAGACTGCATAAAAGCACACATAGCTCGTTGTACTTCAGCTCCTTGTGGCAAAATATTCCACAATAAAGGTGTGAAGGAAGTTCACCAACTCTTCAGAAAAAATTTCTTTTAAGGACTTGACATATTAAAAGAGTGTTTTCAAAAAAATCACAAAGGTAATTGTTCAAAAATATAGTTTTACTCTGTAATAGAAAAACTCCTAAAATGGCCCAGTAGTTTGGGGGCCTTTTATTTTGAAAGACCAAACTAACTTACAGGAACAGGTCAGATGTCCCTTAGTGCTCATCCTGCTATCCCTTTCCAGATGGGTAGCAAAATAAAATTTACATCTAATAAGTCTGTGATTCACATTTAGAATCGTTTTCATGGACTTTACATGTACCTACGGCATCCAAGCTGTCCCAAACAAAATTATCTTATATTAAATGGGTCCTTTGAAATGACTAATAGTGATAAAGTTATACATTTGCTGGATAAATTAAAGTTCAAGTAAGAATCCATAAGCTATTTTCTTTGCCCTTTAATTAGAAGTCTCAGTTCTTGCCTCCATAGTTAAAAATCACCTGAAACCAAATGTAAGAACTAAGTCATTTTTAAGTCAGACAAGGATCACAGGCTGACTTCAAGTATTTGTCACTCAACAGAGCTAATAATATTCAGAATTTATTAAGGTAACCTTTCCCATGCTATTTAGTTCATTCTAGTAAAAAGAACGCAGTAAATTTTGATAAACTGGACAAAAAGCAAAATACTTTCTAATAGAGCATTCAGAATTAAAATAACATTGTGGTCCCTTTTAAGCCCTTTTTAGTTTATGAAATAAGCAGTTACGAGGAACTTAGAAAACAAGGAGTTCAATCCTTTTTAACTTTAAAGAGCCAGAATCAGAACTCAAAGTGTTACTAACTTTAATGGCTGCAAATAAGACCAAAACATTTCACGAACAGCAGTTAAGTACTGTGGGTACATTATTCACATTCTCTTCTCATTCAATGCTCATTAATAGCTTATCTGTCAGTTGTTAACCTCCTTTAAAAGATCAGAAAACTAAAGCTTAGAGTGTTAACTTGCCCAAGCAAAAGAGCCAAGGCTCCAATTCAGGTCTGTCTTATGTTTGAATTCCACCTTCAACCATTCAACTTTTAAAGTTAGAATTGTTAATTTCAATATATCGCACAGTTTACAACACTATGTCTATTAAGAGGGAAGAACGTCATAAAGTACTAAGGATTGCTAGATTCAATCCTTGCTTTAGGGGCTGTACGGAGGCTCTTTCCAAAGTTATTAAGATAGCTAAGTGTTTTTAGTGATTATAATCAAACTTGTTTTCAACTTGTTTAAATAACCACATCCAAATTTCCACAGTGACTTAACCATTAAAGCACTTTTAGTGCTTTTTTACTATTATTAAAGAACCTTAATACAAACGATGTGTGATGAGCCCCCAAAATGCTCGTTAAGGAGCATACACCAAATTCACAAAGGGTCTGTCACTTCAGCTGAAAACAGCCACACAGACGAGATTATTTAACTAATTACATATTTGACTAATTGTGTAACTTGCATCCATCCGAGCTTTAAAATTTTAAATTTATGTTCAGAAAAGAATATTGTAATAGCTCACACACCTTTCAGCTTTCAAGTATTTGGCAGTACAACATCAAGTCTTTTTTTTTTTAAAGCACTCTAGCGCTTTAGTCAAGTTTGGATTGGCATACAGTTAAAATATCTTCAGATGGATTAAGAGAAAATTATCTGTATGCCTAGTAAAACACGTTACGTATTTGTCCACACACTGTATTTCCACTTTACTAGTCTCTTCAATGCCAATATCCTTATATAATACTTTTTAAGTATACTGAAAAATAAAATTTCACAATTCAAATCACTCAGGCTAAAAAACTATCTGGACACCCAGAGAATGACTCTCAAACCAAATCATCATAATTGTAGTTACATACTAAGGACTTCTGTAGCGGCCTCTGAATCTGCGATCTCGACTCCTTGAGCGGCTCCGTCTCCTTTCTTTGCTTCTACTTCGCTTCCTTTCACGACTTTTGCTCTTTTTCCTTTCTCTATCCCTACTTCGCTTCCGTTCCTTACTTTTGCTTCTTTTTCGTTCATGACTACGACTTCTGCTCTTGCTTTTTTTCCTCCTGAGAAGAAAAAAGAACACCATTATTTTGGGTTTAAGGTGCTGCCAAAATATACTTCCTTTTATGGTCAGAAATTCTTTTTTCTAAATTTATTTTGCTATATTTACTATCATATAATGCTATATAACAATACTTATGGGAAAATAACTCCTAGGTAAGGTAAACAACACCCCACCTTTGCCTTCTACTACTGAAAATCAGCAGTCAATGACAAAGAATCATTCAAGAGAGTAGGACTACAATCTGAATCAGCTACAGCTTTAACAAGCAAAGGACTTTTTGGTAGGTAGAGATCAAAACCTGAACTTTTAAATACAACCATCATATAACTTGCCAACAAGCATTACTGTAATGGACAAGATACAGTAATAAAACCAAAGTCACAACAAAATACGTTAACATTTAAGTATTACTACTGGATCACACATAAAAATTTTCATTAAATACACTAATTTCCCTTAAGTAAACCAATTTTGACCCAATTTACACATGTGAATATTTTATACTTTCAAAGGGCCATATGAACAATACTTTGGTTTTCATGGGCAAAATTATAAGTAATGACAAAGGATGATAAAACTAATGCAGTAAAATGCATTGTGACACTCCTAGACTTTAATGTGACCATTTCAGATACTTTCTTGCTAAAGCTATAATGAGTACACCAGAAAAATGGAGTATGCCATTTTTATGCCAGTTTATACAAGCCTGTGGAGTGCAATCAAAACCAAGAACGAACACCTTTATAAATCTTTATAAAATCTCAAACTCTGAAAGGTAAAAAAGCCAGTCAGTCATATCTTTGTTCATTTCTGGATTCTCTGCAGTACACTACCCACTCATTTCATAATTAAATCTTACAATCTGTACCTCTATGTCACCACCCAAATTTCAGAGGTGCCTTCAGATATTTCAATATAAATTGAAAGACATTTCAAAGTAAACTTATTCCACTAAAATGTCAATTTGTAGTGGCTAAAAGATTATCAAACATTTGACAACTCTACGTCATTTGGAAATTTAATTAACTATTTAGTCCTTATCAAAGCAAAGTCAGCACAAGAGCAATTGAAGTCTGCCTCAGAGAACCTGTAAGCAGGTCATCTTAGAGTGCATTGAAAATAGAAAATGAAGACACCCACCTTCTGGAATCTTGAAACCCACACTCCAATCACAAGGAGATGTAGAGCTTTCCAAGGAGGCAGAAACTTTGTCTAAAATTTCAAGATAATCCACCTGACTGTCAGAAATGTATATGCTAGGTAGCACATGACAGAAAGTTAGGCTACACTCATTATTTATATAGAAATCATCAAAGTAATGCCCAGAAGGGCAACAGGTAACAGTCCAACTTTGTTGCCTGAAAAACCTGACACTATGGCTTAGACGGAAGAATTCTGAGAGATAGCTAGAATCAAGTTTTAAATATCATCAATTAGGGGACAAAGGAAAAAGTAACTCCATCCCCCACAAAAAAAAGACAAAGTTTTGCTCTGCTCATAGATGGCCCATAGCAGAGAGGCAGCCAACCTCCCTATTTACCTCTCTTTAGGCCCCAAACTTATTCTGCCAAAGGAAAAGACTCATAACTTGGAGAGCTAATTTCAACTTAAGGTCTTCCTAGAACTTTTTATAAATGAGTCCCCACCCACATCTGAAGGCAACCCCAGACAGGTAAAAAGACAGCAACATACTAAGACATTCAGAAAATACGATCCTCTAGATAAAAGCCTAGACAAAAATTTAAGGTTGCAAGAAAGCAATATACTTCTCTCTAATAAACTGCAGCTTCAAAGAATATTTATTAAGTTAACTAAAGAAGGGTTATCAAAATCCACACTAATAGTCAAATCCTGTTACAACTTAAAGGGACTTTCCAAAGTCTTTAGTGGCAGTGGAATTTTGTACTGAACATCATTGAAGTAAATGGTCCACTGGGCTGGGCCTTTAGACTTTTTGGTTATATGGCCTCTGCTGTAAAGGTGTTTTGCTATAACTGGATTTGACCTCTTCCATGTAAGAAGATCTAAATTTTAAATGCAAAGTACTCTGGAAAATAAGAAAAAAAATAGAAAAGTCATTTATTCCAAAATTTATAGATAATCCACACCACAGTAGCCAATATATTTCAACTGTGTCATTTTATTATCTTTTTTTGAGTAACTCCTAAAGAGCTTAACTGAATGGATGCCAGTTTAGACTTTGCAAAACTAGTTACGCTAACAAATAACATTCCCATGCAGGCAAGCTCAGGTACTTCAAAGGAATACTTTGAGGTCTTGCCAAACTCTAGGGTACAGCTCTTCAGAAAGCAGGCTAACTGATAACCAATTTACGTTAAATTAAATTTAGTTCTTTTTACTACCGGAATACAACTGAATGTATGTATTGAGAATCAGAATTACTATTTTTTAAAAGAAAACATTTATTAGTCAGTCAACCCTCAATTTCTCAGAATGTACATTTTCTCACTACCTTAAAACTCCATCCCAACATTCAATGGCTTTTAAGACAAAGTAGTTTTAGGATGAAAAATGCAACATGGCACCTTCCTTTGGTTAAGAGACTTAATTTATATCAAAGACTAAAGCACACACCACATTTTACTTGTTATCTATCCCTAAATAGAAAAATGTTCTTCTAGAGAACTTTCAAATAAATCAGAAAGGTTATTTCCCTTCAGGAAAATCGGTGAAAAGTTCCTGATTGAACAAGGGAGCCATTTATTTAATCAGCCACAATTAACGACGAAAAGTCTGACAAATAATTTGCATATTTAAAAATATATTAAATGGTAGTGTGACTTTTGAAAGGATCTTCCCTTAAATAACCCACCCTATGGCCAACTGAAGAAAATTGTCCATTCTTCTATTTAGTTCCATAAGACCCTTTACATTAGACTACAGAGGCCACTTAGCATCAGCCACTGGAGAGCGTGATGCTAGATTTCCTCATAAAAGCTTAGTAGCCTTAACGCGCTTAAACGCAGGATGCAAACAAGTATAAACTGGAGATGGTGTTAGTAGGAAGGCGTGACATCTGAGAATGGTACAACAAAAGAAGGTCTGCACCCAAAAGCTTACACCCTCGTGCTTTTGGCACTTAGAATGAGATCTTCAGCCACCCACTAGGCCTGCTACCTAGACTGCAAAATTTCAGTCAATTTATATGGATGTCCTTTCCTAGGTTTTCTTTTCACTACAGAATTGCAAACTAGAACCATTAATTAGGAAACTATTACTTTAATAAAAGGTCTAAAATGAGATGACACTGAACCACGCAACAACTGGATGATTGCTTCTAACAATTGAAGATTAAACCCAACCTAATACCCATAACGTACTGTGATTAGTGAGGAACTATACCAGACTCTCACCCAAGCTTATGCCAGAAAAAACGTAGGACATTTTCCACACGTTGTAATCCATTACTACATTATTTTAGGGGACTTATAAGAATAAAAAAATATTGGTATAGCAAAGCCTGAATAATCCAATCTGACAATTTTCTCACCTGCTTTATGAAATTAAATCAACCTACCTAGCAAAGTTGCTATGAGGATGTTGAGGTAGTATATCATGAAGCACTTTTAGCTCTTAGGAGGAAGAGCCAAAAAGAACCAGGTGAGTGGCTATTTTACCATCATTTTTCATTACGTATCATGAGGTCATGAACCTGACAAAATGTTTTAATGACACCAAAAACTTAAGCTAATATAACAATACTCATAATATGACTTGTGATGTTAAGAATCTTGGAGCTGAAAGCAAACTCCACTAGGATCCAACCTCAGAATAGTAGATCTGGTTTATACTGTTATTTAGACTTTTGTATGCTGTATTCTGTACTAGTCTGTAGCACTGAGTCCCTATTTTTGGGTTACTCATTTAACCCAAATACCTTTCATAAATATTCACAATTTTTAAAAACTCCATTCTAATAGGTCTGTTAGAGTTTAAACAGCCTAAGACAATGAAAGCCATGTAAGATGAACATAAGTACTTAACTATGCTATAGCATTATTACTACAAAAAGGGCCTTTAAGCAGCAAGGAGCATAAATAATTCACAGCTCTGACTCCTTCAGTAATTTAGGGCAAACAATAAATTTCACGGCCCAGTTATTACCTTTTCTTCTTCCTAATCCATCTTCAGAGGATATGACAGTTTTATCGATAAAATAACTAAATATTAAGCCAAAGTTAATAAATTTAAGATAAAAAACAAGCTCTATTATTCTTATCCAGATCGTTATGCATGGACTTGGAGGGGAAGGTGTCCAAAAAGGTCCCTGTAACCATATCCTGAAATCAAGGGAAAAAATACATAGTTTGATATCCTCAAAGTCTCCTGTCCCAAAAGGTAAAGAATCACTTTTCTAAAAGAGGAAAAGAAAAGCTTCAGAAGAGAATCTTAGTTTGATGCTTTAGCCACAGGAACAAAACCTAAAATCTCATCACATAAAGCTCCCCCCCACCCCGGGTCCCTTTTTAAAACTTACTTTTTGCTACGTTCTTCATGGCCGTTAGCACTGCTCAACTTGTTCTCATCCTAAGCAGGGTTGATAGAAGAACATCATGAGGACGAAGTGGTAACATTTCAAGTTGTCAAAGGGTAAAGGGAACAGGAATAAGAAAATACAAAACAATTTTAAAACTAATTACTTATTTATAGTTTAACATGGAAGGCTATAAAAAAATTTAGATGGGTATGTGTTTAACCACTTTGTTGCTTACAATTAAGTCATCAAGATACAAAAATAAAAATGCATATTAACATGTTAAATTTTACTTTCTTATATAGTTAGATATTAAGTTATCCAGATTTACAGTGTTGAAGTGGTTAAAGAGAATGTCTATAAAACATGAATGAAGTCCTTTTTTGAGTTTTATTCCATGTGCTATGGTCCCTTTGGTCAGTACCACGGCTCTATTTCTGCCTAAGCCCCAAGTGGCCGTGCTAGCAGCCAGCCACTATCGATTTCCTGTGACCGATGCCATTCCTGAGATCTTCGCCCATTTCCGTTGGAGGGTTGGGACTGTAAGAGCTTGATGCCACCTCTGTCACACATCTCGCCCTGAAGCAAACAGGGATTCACACTGCTTTAGTAATGTTGACTCCCAAGAACCCAAGAAAGTCAATTAATAATCCACCAGTCCAGCCTAAACATTTCCTACTTCCATACCTGTTTACATGGAATTACATCCATGTTAAACTAAGACACAAGAATCTTAACATTAAAATAGAAAGTAGCTCTTCCAGAGTCTAAGCATTAAAAAACTACATACACTATTTAAAGCTATAAAGAATTCATCCAAATTGGTACCACATGGTCGTGCTATACACTCCAAAACAAATGTATTATTCTTAAAAGGTTTAGCGCAATGTTTATTTTAAAGTTTGAACACATCAGTTATAGGAGTCTAAGTGCTAACTTACAAAGCTTACAGTTTGTGACACCAGTGATAATGCATGCATACTGCTATTTTCACCACCAACTGGTGAAAGAATGAAAAGACACTTTTACTGTGACACTGAAATGGGTCAAAGACTATATTATTAGCAAAATAATTCCTTTGCAGGTTTTAGTGTGAAATATTATGGTAGGGACTAACTAAAAATACAACAATATGGAGAACAGTAAAACAGTCATCAAGTGACTCTAAGTTGTGATACTGCCTCTTTTGTTTTAAAATTTGTTTTATTCAGGGATCCAAGAATTTTAGTAATTTTTAACTGAGCAGATCATCGCCTGCCTGTTTTAATATTTACTATCACCAGTCTTTTATACATACAGAAAAAATTTAAATCTCACCCATTTCTTCTTGTAAGACTTATCTTAAGATTTGCTTGCCACAGACTGGTTATGCTTTGTTATTCTTGGACCCCTGCTTTTTTCCCAAACCACTACATTCACCTTTTTGCTATACCAAACTGGAGCTGGTAATTCTTAGTTGAGTCATTTTACCTAGGGGACCACGGTACAGCGATAAGTCACTCAATTACTACCTTATGATTGACAGTTCACACTGGAATCAAAGGTGAATTCATGGGAGTAGAGGTGAGATATCGTTAGGCAAGTCTACAAAGAGAGATAGATGGGCATTTATTCATCACGCTGAAGTGAAACTACTGCACAATATTATTACATCAATAGCATATATTTACTTTTGAAAGTTACACGTAATGCATCTCTGATAAGATAAATCAAGAGGGCTCCGGGGAGGTTAGTTTACATTTCAGCAGTAGTTTCGTGAATAATGCTAAATTAAGAAATATATAAACCTCACCGACATGTTTTTTCTCACCTTCTTGTAAGGGGCCTCAAGCATTGCTTCAATATCAATATCGTCTGCCATTTTCTCTAAACGCCTAGAAAAAGAATACGGTAATTCTGTGAGCAAAGATTTTTCTATTTTGCTCAATGTTTCTTACCCGACACACTCCAAAACTTCAGAAAAACCTTCAAAAGCCCTAAAATGACTAAACTTTACCAGGTTTGGCAAGTAAATCTAAAATGCCTCTAAAACCGCACACGTGAATATAGATTAAATGTTCGATTAAAAAAAGCCTGCAATGAACTCCCAAAAACAGAAACCAGGAGCCTCGAGCGAGGGCGCCTCTTTCCGCGAAAAACCCGCGCTGCCATTTTAGGGGCAAAGGGAAACTCCCTCGTTGGGAGGGGTTGTGTGCCATGGCAGCGGTCGGCTGGCGCCATATTGGGAGGTCTCGGTCGGCCCAGGCCTCTAAGGGACAGGTCGCCATCTGCCCCAGGCCTCCCTGAGGTCCTTGCCACCCAAGAACCCTGCAATCGACCCGACCGGAAGATAAGGGTGGGGTCGCCGAAGTGGGGCCGATTTCTCGAGAACGTGCCCCCCCAAACTAAAGACCACCTAAACAGTACCCCTTAACTCAGAAAATAACCAAACCCCAAAACACCTCTGACAATACGCGGGTCCGCAAGGCCTCCTTACCTGTGCGGGGTTTCGGGCCGCTGTGGTGCTTGTATTCGAAAAGACGGGGGCTGCTGCTGCCGCCGCTGTTGCTGTTAAGCCGCTAGGCCCAGGCCGCGGTACCGCCCAGCCCGAATTTCGGGCTCCAAGGGCGGATAGGCCCGAGCGAATCTAAAAGAAACAATGGGATTAGAAGAGCCCGCGGGGAAGTGCAGGACGCGGCTTCGGCAGCTCAGGATCCACCCCGGCGACAGCGTCGGCAAGCTCTCTGAAATGGCGGCCGCTGCTTCCCCGTACTCACATTCACCAACACACATACACACACACAAACACACGGGGCCTCACCGAGCCCTCAGCACGGGCTCTCGCGAGAAGCTGCCCCTTGTTCCAGACTGGAGTAGCCGAAATATCGCGAGATCTAAGTATGGCCCCAGCGACCATGGCCCAATCTCGCGCAATGATTGCGCCACAGATATTCCCATCCCCCACACAGAGAGGCGCCTTTGACTCCCCCCACCAGATAGGCGTCCATATCTCGCGAGATCGCGCAAGTTGCTAGAGCAAAGACAGTTGGTACAGTTCCTGTCAATCTTTTAGGAAACTCAACGCTGAGTGGAGGTCGGTGGTCACCACCTCCTCGTGGCGCCTTCTCATAGCTATCTGAAGGTTTCCCCCTCACAACGGACCACCCATCCACCCACTGGGCCTCCTACCCAGTTGTCTGTCAAGGTCGCCATAAGACAATCTAATCCATATGGCGAAAGAATAAAAGGAAAACGGTCATGTGCAGATCATCCGGGAAGGATGAAGACGAAGTGAAAGCATGTAAGAGAGAAGGCGAGAATGAGACCGTACAGGGGTAGGAGGCTAGGACTGTAGAATAAAAATTAGATTTCCTGTCGTTTTGGAGCCAGTGGGACTAGGCACTGCTTCGACTGTCGGGCTTCAAAATACCCTTGGAAGTAGTGGAGAAAGGCAAAAAGAAGGTGAAAAAACAAACTACCACCCGTGACAGTGGATCAGCTTTGTGCCCCCCGCATTTATAGGCTGGCCTTGTGTCGGAGTTGCTATTGTTTCTTCAAAAATGTCCCCCATTCCCCTGGGACTTGACTCGCCGCCCCTGAAGTCTTTCAGATGCCTGGCAATTAGAGTATAAATTTCACCATTGGTTCTTTGGTCAATACTGTGAAAAAGAAGGGGGAACAGAGAGGTAATTGACTATAAGGCTTTTTCTTCCAAGATAAAAATGTTTGAAAAAAAATTAGAAAGATGACTTACAAGCAAAAAATCTTAACAGAAGTCTTTAATAGCTTAATGATTGAGAGCAAATATTTGAAATGAGATATCTTGGTTCCTGTAGCTGCTTCAACACTGTGTGACCTTGGACAAGTAAATCAACCTCTCACTGCCTATCCTGCATTTCCTCCTATGAAGAAGAGGGTAATATAATTACTAAGCTAAGTAAGCTTCTTGAGACTGAGCAGGACTGGTAATGCTCCCTAGTGAATTCTCAGCGCTTAGTGGGATGCCCAGCCAGGTGGACACTCAATAAATGAATGAATGAATGAATGAAGGCCTAGTAGGAGTATATAGTGAGGATTAAATGAGATAATGTCCATGATTAAATGAGATAATGCTTGGCAAATATTTAGTCCTCAAGTTAACTTCTGTTACTGCTAAACAAAATTATTTAGAAGAAATGTAGGTGTAAGTGGCTTTGCGTTTCAAGTTAACTTTCCACACAGGTATTTCTCTTAGAGGGTCATTAGATTTTGCATACTTAGTAATATTCCCTTACTCCTTTTCCTGAAAATTCAGATCCTCTTTTCATTTTTTGTGTTGAAAATCATCATAGAATATTGAAGCGTAATATATCAGGAAAGACAAGCTAACCTTTGCCTTCTCTTTTCCCCTTTGATTCCAGTATACTGACTTGTTAATTTTGCAAATATCACAGCATCAAGGTGGCCCCTTCTTAATTTTTTGTTTCTGTGGTAACGTAGTGCTGAAGTTGATCTTAACCTCTGGACTTATTTGGGAAGAAGAAGTTTCTAAGCTCCAAGTCACTTGAAGATTGAATATTCCTTAAATTGTTTTCTGTTCAAGGACCATCAGAGTGAACCTAGCAATTTAGCGCACAATCAAGAAACACCACCTGGAAAACTCATTATGTAAAGCAAAAGTATTTTTTATGTTTAAAAGAAAATATTAAAAATATGCTTTTCATTCACTTTGCAAAACCTTTCTCAGTCTGTCTGGCTCTTGGACTTTCCGTGTAAATTAATTCCCTTTCATCATTTCATTCTGAAGTCTCGTTTGCAGCAAAAAGTCATTGGATTGAATCATCACCAGCAATTGTTCTAACTTATAACATAGGAGGCCATAATATAACCAAGGGCCTGCGATAGAGGAGGTAATACTTGTTATGCTTATTCACCTGAAAATTAAATATATTTTGCCAACGTGAATTTTTTTATGTCCATGCATGACTTTTATGGAGAGAAAAACACTATTTTTGATACGTTTAGAAAATATTCAACTTATAAAGTGAGTTTTTAATCTAATTTTCCTTAAGACTTTAAGACTGACAAATTTTTTATTTATGAATCTAACTAAAATTTTAAAATCACTTTCAATCTTTTTCCATTAATATTGAGTTAAATTCAAGTTAAACAGACTAAACTCTCTTCAAAAAAATCAGTCCCATTTATATTAGGCAAATTTCCTCAAATTTAGTATGCTTTTTATCAATCTAACATGTATTATTTTCGAGTACTGTAAAACTTTCCCAGGTGTGTAAACGATTCTTCTAAATCCAAGAAATTAAAATCACAAATATAGTGAGTCATAATTTCTTAATATATTCTAATATAGTCTCATACTTTTCCAATTAAAATCACAAATCTCAAGCCAATTAATCACGCTTTTTTTGAGATGTAATTGACATATGACATTGTATTAGTTTCAAGCGTACAACATAATGACTCAATGTTTGTATGTATTGCAAAATGATCACCACAATAAGTCTAATTAACATCCGTCAGTGCCACCTGCATGGCAGAGTGGTTAAGTTCCCACAATCCACTTCAGCGACCCAGGGTTTCACCAGTTCGAGTCCTGGGCGCGGACATGGCACCGCTCATTAAGCCATGTTGAGGTGGCAACCCACATGGCACAACCAGAAGGACCAACAACTAGAATATACAACTATGTACTGGGAGGCTTTGGAAAGAAGAAGAAAAAAACAGATTGGCAACAAATGTTGGCTCAGGTGCCAATCCTAGAAGTCTGTCACTACACACAGTTACAGAATTTTTTTCTTGTGATGGGAACTTTTAAGATTTACTCTCTTCACAACTTTCAAATATGCAATACAATATTATTAGCTACAGTCACCATGCTGTGCATTATAGCCCCATGACTTATTTGTTTTATAATTGGCAGTTTGTACCTTTTGACTTCCTTTACCCATTTCACCCACCCCCTACTCCCTGCATCTATCAACCACAACTCTCTTCTCTGTATCTATGAGATTGGTTTTGTTTTTTGGTTTTTTGAGGAAGATTAGCCCTGAGCTAACATCTGCTGGGCCACCAAAGCAGAGCACACAAACTTAACCACTCAGCCATGGGGCTGGCCACAAATTAGAATTTCTAACTTGCTAAATTCTCTTAAACATTAAAATTTTAATACAAGTATATACAAAGTATTCCTAAACTTAAAGTGAAACTTTTAAGACTTCATCTCCATATGTATTTCAATTTAAACCTCCTCTGGACAAAAAGACACCCATAAGAAAAAGGTTTTATTGGGGCCGGCCCGGTGGGGGCAGCAGTTAAGTGCACATGTTCTGCTTTGGCGGCCCAGGGTTCACTGGTTTGGATCTCGGGTACGGACATGGCACCACTTGGCAAGCCACGCTGTGGTAGTTGTCCCACATATAAAGTAGAGGAAGATGAGCACAGATGTGAGCTCAGGGCCAGTCTTCCTCAGCAAAAAGAGGAGGATTGGCAGCAGATGTTAGCTCAGGGCTTGTCTTCCTCAAAAAAAAAAAAAGAAAAAGAAAACGGTTTTATTATCTAAAAAAACTTAAGATTAACATCCCAAGAGAATTCAGATACTGTCTCAGAGGACCAAGGTTCTTTATTGGCCAGAGTTTTTGACCTGAACCAAATATTATGGTTGCGTAGTCTGCCTGATAGATTCTAGCAAATCTTCTCAAGCCACTGATAGGGATGATGAGTCTTTTTTTTTTTTTTAAGTCACTATGACAATGAGAAACTCAAGCCGTTTCATACAGATGGAATTAATTTTGCCACTTTTATGCCTTTTGCCTGATTTGAGTGGATTAAATTGTCATTCCCCACCTTAGTACTTGATTGTCTAATCAATCTACTTACTGATTGAATTTGGCATTTGTTTCAAATACTTGGGTGATTACTGGCCACCATGTCAAGGGCATTGCAGTGACACATCTCAAAGGAATTTGCATAAATTTGTGAATGGTTAGTCCTTAAAAGAAGAGGAGATGTTTCAGGGATGCATCACTAGCCACTTATTTGAGGTTGATTCCATGGGATGCAACTCTCAAAATAACTTTTCTTGAGATCACTATCAAAGAATCCTGTTCCTCAAACTCAAGATGCGGTTTCTTAAGAGCCTATGTGAACCAGATAAGGAAGCAGTATTGATGTTTTTGCCAGAATCTAATCTGTAGTCAAAAAAGTAGAATGTTTTGAACTCCCCATAGTTAAGACAATCAAGAAAATTAAGGGGCACTCATGAAAAACAGTGATAATGTAGCCCACCTCTCCATCCGATAGGCAAAAGTATTGCCTAAAACACTATTCTATTTTTTCGTTTGTTTTGTTTCTTCTTTTTTTTTTTCAATTCTTCTCCCCAAAGCCCCCCAGTACATAGTTGTAGATTCTAGTTGTGAGTGCCTCTGGTTGTGCTATGTGGGATGCCCCCTCAGCACGGCCTGATGAGTGGTGCCATGTCCACGCCCAGGATCTGAACCAGGGAAACCCTGGGCCACCAAAGTGGAGTGCACGAACGCAACACTCGGCCACAGGGCTGGCACAAAGAAACAAATTTTTAACAGAGATGTTCTAATCATAGTAACAATGATAATAGCTACTATCATTAGAATACCTATTATATACCTGGCATTGTGCTGGGCACTCTGGAATGCAAAGACCCCACAAGGTAGGAATTATGTTTCCCCATTTGCAGATGAGGAAACTGAGGTTCAGAGAGGCTAAGTAATCATCCAGGGCCACAAAGCTAATAAATGGCAGGATTCAAACCCAGATCTATCTGAAACC